TAAGTACGTATTTGGTCTCTCTTATTCCTAAAGCTCTTAGCTTTCTTTAAGAATCAACAAAAAATGGCCATCAGAAAATCAAATTACAAGTTGCCACAAGTGACAGTACTAAAGCAAATTATGAAAAGGTGTTGGAGTTTAGGTAAGAAGCTGAACGGGTACAAGTACAACGACAAGGACTATTCTCCAATTGACGTGCCAAAAGGACATTTTGTAGTTTACGTAGGAGAGAATAGAACTCGATACATCGTACCTATTTCTTTTTTAAGTCACCCAGAGTTTCAATGCCTCCTTCGTTGCGCTGAGGAAGAATTTGGCTTTGATCACGACAAGGGCATCACCATTCCCTGTGAAGAATTCATTTTCCAATCTCTCACTTCCATTATCCACTAGTGAAAGTGTTTGAAAGAAAAAAACATAATGTCATTGCCCACAAAAAAGACAATGCAGGACGTTATATTTTTTTTAAAAAACTTCATTTTACTAACATAATACCATTGTGAACTTCTTTTGTTATGAAACTTTAATATAATGTAATGATTTAATGATAATCCGTATGGATTTTATAATCCAAGTAAAACAAATATAGAGTTACTAATGAAATGTGCAAAGATACAATTAATCCCATCAAAATAATTTACAAGAGAAGACGTCTCAAATTCTTTTACACACATATTTCTTGTTCTCACACTTTAAACATTTTTTTTAAATCAAAACAAGGACATGGCATCCAGACTATCATATCTGAGTTCATATATAGGAAATCATTGACTTTTACTCAAACTTTATATGTATGCATTAAAGTATTCATAAAACATCTTAAAATATTTTATTGTGAATTCAGTTATTATTGTATATTAACTTGAGATTGTTGTAGGAATCTGCCTTTGTATGCGGTTAGTTGCACTAGTGCGCTCTTATTATCACCGATTGTATCGTATATTATTGTGATTATAATTAATATGGATTCCATACAGCTGAATTCTCCTTATTCCAAATGTAAACTACGTAACAAGGTGTACTTTCTTCGAAAATTACCCTCATTTTAAAAAGAAATTTAGAAAACAAATATAAGTCAAATAATGCTAATTTCTTGTACTTAATTAATTATCATGCATCATTCTCTTTAGAACACAACCCATTATTCGTTAAAAACATTGTTAGTATCATCCAAGTATCAAGGTGTTTGTTCGTTATCTCATTTGAAAGCAAACCCTCTATATATAATCTTTGTTTATTTTAATTAAGAATACGTTGGTTTCTTCTAATTAATTAAAACAAAGATAAATAAAAATGCAGTTCAATTGATAAAGAACCTAAGTTGGAGAGTAGTTTTCTAAAATTAGTTGATTTAACTATGGTTATTATATATGTTAATATAATATAATTTTGACCTTTAAACTTTAAATAAGGCACATGTCTCTCATCTAGACGTGCACTTGACGAAATAAAGGGAAGGGGATAATGGAGGGGAGCCGGATCTGTTGAGGGATCATAAGTTGGGGGATATTTTATTGAACAGTACGAAATCTACGCAATAAATGTGTTTATCGATCTAGTCGTAGTCGCACAAGTAGGTCAACATCCAGAAATGAAGAAAAAAAATGGGTATAAATAGTTGTTGAAAATTCTTTAATCCCAAGTACAATCAAACAAGTAGAGTATATACTCATTATTTCAAAGAAAGAAAGGGCCCGTATGCATGTTAGTCAATCTATGCGCACTGCGTGACTCATTCGAGGGTGGCATTTCCAATAAGATTTTCTTTATACCTAAGACTCGAACCCGAGACTTGTGGTTAAAGGTGAAATAGTCTCATCATTGCACCACAATTCATGTAGATAGTGGTATATTATTATTATCGATCGTACAAGTATCAAGGTGTTGCCTGCCTAACTTTTGTGTTGTCTTGGGCAAGTATCACAAGGTTTGTTTTTTTTAATTTATGCTACCTATGAAAGTGAAATTCACCAAGGAAAACAAGAATATGTACGGGTAATTAAGCCCTGGAGCTCATATTTAAATCATGTAATTTAGTCAAATTAAATAATTCTAGTTGACTGGCAATTGGCACCATGATATTCTTTATAACAACCATTTTTTGGTGAAAACACTAATGTTAGTGTTATCCAAATAGTTTTTTCTTTTTAAAAAAAATGTTGATTTGATTTCTTTTAAAATAAAGATAGATAAGAATCGTACAATTTGGTCAAGATCTTGAAATACGATGTAGTGAATGAATCTTTCAACTTCACCTAGAAATTACCCAAACTCTACAAAGCTTGCCTAGGACAACTCTTAACCAAAAATAGGTGTGTTTCGACATAAGTGATTTATCTCATAGTAGATTCTAATTTTATTGTGGTACGACAAAAGACAATTATTTTCTTGCACCCTCTGAGACCTCGATCAATATATTTGAAATTCTTTTAGTGCATACTTTATTTGGGAAAGTCCAACTATTAGAACTGGTAACATTCTTTTTGAATCGTAATCTACTAATAATGCATATATTGGCGTAGATTATTTCTAGCCATATCACTTCTTTGGGATAAAAGATGCGATTCAGGGTTCTACTATTATAATAGCTACGAGAGAAAAATATCCTTGTTATAATAGTAGAACCCCGACATCATGTAGTAGAAATATTGACATTAAAATATACTGAAAACATGGTTAAGCAAATAAAATGTATTATTCTACCTTGTCACGTTTCGATTTATTTGTATTACTTTCGTTTTTAATCCTTTTCAAAATGAATGTTTTCCCCCTTTTTGAGCATTTTTTGGTTTTAACTTTTCACATGATTTAAAATTAAAAGATTAAAAATCATTTTGGCACGTTCAAAAGTATATTTTACTTTTTTAAAAAAAATTCGAATAGTCAAAATCAGACAATCAAATTGAAACATAAGAGTATTGGTATATGCAAGAACAATCCATTGGTTAAATAGTTGGCTCCCTAAGTACATAATCTTGTTTGTTATCTTGTACAAATACATTGGTTTCTTCATATATAACAAAGATAAATAAGTTTGGATCTTCCTCCATAAATAGCTTCACATCTCTCTATGCCAAACACTACCTTATTAGTACTTCTTTAATAGTATAAAGCTCTCAAATTTCTTCAAGAAAACATACAAAAATGGCTATCAGAATATCAAACAAACTATCACAAGCTGCAGTTTTGAAGCAAATTATGAAAAGGTGTTCGAGTTTGGGTAAGAAACAGAGCTATGATGATGTAGATCACCTTCCCATCGACGTACCAAAAAGACATTTTGCAGTTTACGTTGGAGAGAACAGAACTCGATATATCGTACCAATTTCTTTCTTGACTCACCCTCTGTTTCAGTGCCTCCTACAATGCTCTGAGGAAGAATTTGGCTTCGATCATGACATGGGAATTACCATTCCATGTGAAGAAGTTATTTTCCTAGCACTAACTTCGATGCTCCGGTAATTATAAATATTTGATTTAAAGAACAAAATAGTGAATATTAAGTTAGGTGTAAGATTTTTTTAATTTTTTTTTTGAGTGAATCAAATTTGTAACTGGAATAATCTTGGAATTTTTTTCTTGTAGTACTGGTGAATGTCTCGAATTATTTCCTATTTATACAAAAATCTCTCAAAGTTTATGGTATCATAATCAACACGTAGTACAGTAAGATATTTGATAGAATTATTAAGACGGAATGACTCAGGAGATCTCTGCACTTGGCACCGTTTGTCAGTTGAATTCTCCTACTCATCACTTTGTCAACCAAACCCTTAAACTCACCAGAACACAATATTTTAAACCCCTATGACAATTGATTGAGTTTATGTGACATTAATATTGATGAGTCTGAAATATGTGTGATTACACGCGCTTGAAAGTGAGTTAAAACGATATTTTACTTTAAAAAAAATCAATTTAACAAAATTAAAAAATAAGATTCATCTTCTTCAACCCTCCTTCATCCACTCACCCACCCAACCACGACTTTTTCTTCTCCACCAGCCTCCCTCCTCTACCCCTCACCACAACCCTCAACTTTCTTATTTTTTCCAGTTCATTCTTCTTTCTCCAGCCCCACATTCACTCTTCTCTGCCTCTTCTACTTCTTCTTTTTTAATACAAACTTTTAGCCTCAAACTTTTTCTAAAATTTTCATTTTTTAGGTTTGAAAAATATTAGTATCATTATTTTATTAGATGGTTTCAACGAAGAGATGTGAATAATGTGAAGGATGATGAAAATTTTAAAACTCCATTGATAAGCTTGAAAAAGCTTAAAAATAATAAGTGGATCTTGTAAATTTGTAAAATTAATTAAAAATTTCGATTGGGGTTCATTGAGTTTGTGTTGGTGAATTTGTAGTTGAATTTACAAGTTAAATCGAGAAGAATTTGATCTAATGGGTATGAATTTAGTGCTCAATTTGTGACCAAATATGAAGAAGATGGCTATTTGAAAAGTGTAAGAAATTAAAAAATTGATCTATTTTTATTTTTATATTTTTAGCACTTAATTTCGTACGTGGCATTAAAAAATGATGTGAAATTCCACGTGTAATCGCGTCCATTACACGCAAACTGACCGGAGGAGAAAAGGGCTTAAAATATTGTGTTTTGATGGGTTTAAGGGTCTAGTTGGCAAAATAATGAGTATGAGGGTTCAACTGACAAACGGAGCCAAGTACATGGGTCTTTCAGGTCATTCTGCCAATTATTAAATATCCAAATTTTAACCAACAAATCAGGCAATATTTCGAGTTATATCTTGGCCAAAGTAGATAAGTTGAAATTTGAATGGTTCAGAACTACAAAATAAATTTATCTTCAAGCATTTAGTTGAGAGAAACAAATTTTGGTATGTGTATTCATTGAAGTATTTTCTTTAATTTGCTAGTAAAAAAGCACCTAACTTTGTGGTGCTAAGACTCACTTCTAACTAATCAACTGTACTAGATGGATTTCCTTAACAAAATTGTGAGACCTAAAAAAAGGAAAAAAAATTCTCAACTATATTTTTAAATCCTAAAGTGAGAAGTGATGTCAATGAAGATGTCCTCTGAGCAGGGAATTGTTACACCACCCATTGGATGATCGAACCCAAATTCTTCCTCTGCTTGACTTAGCAACTCTTGAAATGAAGGCTGACTCAAGTATGATATCGGTATCACAAATCTCTTCCTCTGCTTCTCCCCAACATATACAACAAAATGACCCTTGGGAACATCCAAGGATGTTGATGACTTCTTGATTATACGAGGAACACGAATAGCCATGATCTTTTAATTAAGATGAGCAAAGTATGAAGATAAAAAATTACTTAAGATCCTGAAATAACAGAAAAGCTTTGAGTAGTATTCTTTGTTTTGTGGAGAGCTGTGGTAGTGACAACTTCTCAAAACAGTTTATATATAGCAAATGGCAAGTCATAAAATCTCATTATTTGTGGTGAAGACAATGACATCTCAATAACCAAATGGTTCTGTCTTCCTACTAATTGACATGATTAATTACTTTAGCTCATACAAGTTCAACATGCAACGGTTGGTTGGTCCTACCTCTTTCTCATAATGAAATCGGTGGATTATGATGATTTGTGTACTCCATTAATATAATGTAAGAAGTATAAGATGAAGTATCACATGGTTTTGTTGTCCAACTCGCTATCAAGACATTGTTTTTATGACATGATTGAAAACACAGCATCTTTATAAATCAAATTGATAACAACAGGCAATCGTCCTGTAATTATTCAGGTCCGGACCACTTGGTCTGCAATTAGAAATAAATTTACTTGTAAAATATGACAACTTGTCTGGTCCCTCATGCTAAACTCATTATGTAGGATCAACTTTCCATATTCAAATTATCGGAGTTATTTCAGCAAATGTAGAGAACATAGACGATGTTTACTCACTATCAACCTGTCTTTATAGTTTCCAAATGTCCATGAAGAGTACTATAAATGGTTAATTCCTTCTCACTTCCTCAAGTGATCGACATGTGAGATCAATGAACATATTCCCACCCATTCGATGATCGAATCCAAATTCTTCTTCATCTTGACTGAGCAAGTCTTGAAATAAAGGTTGACTCAAGAATGATACGGGGTCATGTTGGGTTTTATTTGTCTTGAATTTCTTACTATAAATAGGTTTTCCTTTTAGGAAAATGTTTTGGATTGGCTAGTCCTTTTATGGTAGGAAAAAGTTTTGGACTCTATAAATTGAGACTTGTTCCTTCTAACTTAATCAGCATTCACAATGTAGTCTTAAGGGCTTTGATAGTTTTGGTTAGGGGGAGAATTTGTGGGACACAAGCTTGATATGTTATCACTTTGTGTGAACCTCCCATGTATTTCGAGTGAATTGGTTGAGGTTATTTCTCTCTATATTTTGTACTCTCATATTTATAGTGGATTGCTTATCTCCTTTGTGGACATAGGTCGATTGACCGAACCACGTTAAATCTTTGTGTCTTTTGGTATATTTCTCGCTTGTCTTCTTACTCGTGATCTTTCAAGGTTTGCTTTGCTAGCTTTCGCATTACACCTAATTATTTCGGTCCTAACATATCACATATCTCTTCTTGTGCTTCTCCCTGACATACACAACAAAATATCCTATGGGAACATCTCTAGATGTGGAAGATTTCTTGATTATAAGAGACATACGAATAGCCATGATCTTCTAGTTTAAGTATAGATGAGAAGAACTACTAAAGACCTCAAAAGCAGAATATTTTTTCTTTGAATGCTTTCAAGTTTTGCTGAGAGCTGTGGTGGTAGACACTCTTGAAATGTGTTTATATAGGCCAAATAACAACTCAAAAGTTGGCCATTTAAATTGTTTGCGCACCCACATCATGTCATTTATCCATGATTAAAATGTTTCGTAAAATGTATTAAACAAATGTGGAATTTATATGTTAGAAAAAAACTCAATTATTTTGAAGTTAATGGAGACATTTCTCACTAAAAATAGACTTATTTCAACTGTCTTTAATTTGTAGCTGAAATAATACCATTGTGTCACTAAAAGTTATGTTGATTCGAATAAAAGTTTACCTTTTGTACCTAATTATCTGAGGAAATTTTAAAAACAACTTAACTGTTCTTTGGATGCACTATAGTTATTCGCTCTAATTATAATCTTTGTCCATCGCTAATTTAAGGATACACAACCACAAAAATATAGTTAAACAGGAATATAAACAACCAAAAAAAAACAGGGGCACAAAACCACAAAATATTACCGTCAAACAATGATATAGTAACAAAAATGTATCCTATACCTGAAAAAATAATTGCCCCTTCAGGTTTCTCAATCTAACGATTATAATTATAAATAATAATTTATTTTTTTACAATATCAGATATTCAAAGGATAAAATAATTCTGAGAAAGGCTACCACAATAATTTTGATCCGGTGCCTCAATAAAATATATAATTAAATTATAATTTATAAAATCAAATTATTTTTGTAAGTGTAAAATAAGGAAACCTGAGTTTTTTTCTTTCAGATTCCGAGTTGGCTTAGGAAAGTATGGGATGGGAATGGGATTACAGTTTTAGGAAACTTTTTTTCCTTTCAGATTCCGACTTGGTTTCGGAAGTTAAAAAAAATGTCTATATAAACTCAATTCCTAACTCTGTTTCTGTGCAACCAAATTCTTAACTTTGTTTCTCTTCTTTGATTTCTTTTTAGTAGCAAAAGCAAAAATATTTCAGTTATGGCAGTGTATATCAAGTATAAAAGTTGTAAGGATTATGATTCAATACCAATTCTTGATCATTTTATTTCTGTTGGGAATTTGAAATCAAAAATATTTGAATCCAAGCGTTATGGTTGGGGTAAAGATTTCGACCTTCTTCTCACCAACGTACAAACTAACGAAGATTATGTTGATCATGCCACCTTGATTCCTACAAGTACAACTGTTTTGATTCGTCGCCTTCCTGGATTACCTTGCTGCCCCATACTAATTAAAGAGGATCCCAAGCAAGTGTTGTGTAAACAGGAGGAGGTTCATTCAGTTAAAAAAGAGTCCAAATATTCTCAAGATATTGATTACGATGATTTTGGCGATGATGTGTATGTAATTCCAAAAGTAGTAATGCCAAGTCAATTAGGCAATCCAGTGCCCACTAGTACTTGTAGTATAATCAAGAATTCAATTGTCAACATATCACTTGAGTATAATGACACAAGATCGGCTGGCTTTAGTGTTGGACAAGGTGGAATGGAATGGAAAAACCCACCACCGGGGTATGTCTGTCATCGATGCAAGGTGCCTGGGCATTTCATTCAGCATTGCCCTACAAATGGTGACCCCAATTATGACATCAAGAAAGTAAGTGCAAGTGTTGCTGTTTTGATGGCAGCTTTTACTAAGGAGGTTGAGGGATCTTCTTCTTCATCGTCTTCTAAGCGTTCCTATACAGATATACCACCAGAGCTTCACTGCCCATTGTGTAAAGAATTAATGAAAGATGCAGTTATAGCAAGCAAATGTTGTTTTAGTAGTTTCTGCAATAAATGCATAAGGAATCATATTATGTCTAACTCTGTTTGCGTATGTGGGGCTAGAAATATACTTGTTGATGTTCTCTTGCCTAATTTGACTCTAAGAGCCACAGTAAACAGAATCTTACAGTCTAATAGCAGTACTTCTTCAGAGTCTTGTAGGACACGGGTAGAAGAGTTTCCACGAGCTGTTGAAGAAGTAAATATGAAGAAAAGGAAGAAACCAAGTGATGATGTTGCTGCTGTTAACATGCAATGGGGTGTTGAAACTAGAAAATCAGGTTTTAAAGGAGTAAGTGTGAGATGAGCAGCGAGTTTTCAAGTGTAATTACTTATTGAGGGGTTAAAATATATATATACCACATTTTGTAATATTATCGAATTCAATACATTGTTTGTTGTCTCTAATATTCTTCCTTTCAAGTTAGATTAGTAATTTTATCTGTTTGATCACACATAATTTGATATCTCCCCTATATTAGTGACCTTAGAACGCGGCATGCCATCGTATCAAGCAAACTACATTAATTCGAAAACGAAAGTCTTATTTCAAAGCATACTTTGCAAATGAACTAAAACAATGGGTTAGAGATTAGACATTGATGGGAAAATAACCTATAAGACAGAATTGAATACAGAAAACTGGCTTAGACTAGTGCCAGTTTTATCCGTGACGTTCTCCAACGCCTCAGCAGTCTGTTGAAATCTATCCTAATGTAGATACAAAGTCCTATCCAAACAGGCCTTCATCAAAGTTTTCATTTTGAATCCGAAAAATCAATTCTATCCTAACGTAGACTTTAGCACTTGAGAAGCTCCAATTCCCATGTTATAAAGAAATGAAATCATGCAAACAAGAATTCTGAAAAATCAATTGACGAAAGAATGAATCTGAATAGATTTCATTATGTCTTTTTAACATCAGCTACTGAAAATTACATTCAAAAATGGGATCCACGACAAATAGCCCCCTCTATCTAATTTTCAGTAATGTGTATTGAATAGTGAGTCTCTCCTAACTAGAAAGGTTACTTCTTTACAAAATTGTGAAAGGAAAAGCCTCAGAACCTACTCAAGCGAGAAGTAAGATTAATGAACACATCCTCACTACAGGGTATTGTCACACCGCCCATTGGATGATTGAAGCCAAATTCTTGCTCAGCTTGACTAAGCAAGTCTTGAAATAAAGGTTCGCTCAAGAATGAAATGGGGACTACAAATCTCTTCTTTTGCTTCTCCCCCACATAAACAGCAAAATGGCCTTTCGGAACGTCGCCACTAGTAGAAGACTTCTTGATTATACGAGGCATACGGATAGCCATGGTCGTTTAGTTCAATATAGATGAGCAAATAAGGATTGGAAGAATTAGTAAGGAAATCTGAAAGCAGAGAAAGGTTTTTGTATGTTTTCAAGTTTTGGTGAGAGCTGTTATGGTAAACCCTTCTTTGTATGTGTTTATATATCAAGTTGTAGAATTCTACTGATGTGCATTGAATAGTCATTATGTGGGAACCAGCTAAAGACAGTAGCACCGGAAGTATAACATGGTTTTGCCTTCCAACTCTCATGTGTCCACTTATATAAAACTATAAGAGAAAACAAATCAATCATATAGAAGATTCAACTGGTAGAGAGGCATTTGTTGTACTGTTGATTGACAATATCACATGGTTTTGCTACTCAACTCATTGTCAATTATATATGATCTTAGTCATTGCTCTTCCATATCAGCAGCCCCTACATCCCAGTGTTTTTCAGGACAAGATAGACAACAGAAGATTCTTAGAAATCAATTTGATAACATTGAGTCATTGTCAACAGCAGGATCTTTTCAGATCGATCAGAATGATATTAACAGGTAAAATTTACAACAATCTGACCATTTGCTTGGTCCCTCAAGCTAAGTCATTATGTAGGATCAACTTTCCTGATTAAAATAAACCAAGCCATTTCAATAGATTTTGCGAAATGTTTCCAAATAGTAGAGAATACAATGTACTTTTTACTGGCTATCTATATGTCTCTGTCCATGTTATGCAAATCTCCATTAAATTATGAGTCGGTCAAAACTTTATTATTGCTAGAAATTTGAGTTCATATTCAAAAGTATAGATAATATTTCTTATAAAGAGTTCATAAAGTGTAATTATCATTTTAACCAATCGAATGAGTTATGCCACTTTAGAGGGACTAGATTGTAGTTCATTCGAGTAGAGCAAAAAATTTCTATTGCAATGAATTGATTACATCAATGTATGGAAGTAAAAAGTTTCATTACTTCAATTTCTTTTGAAGTAGATGTGTCCTTAGTCTACCTAGTGTTTCTTCTAACTCTCTACTGTACACAGTGGAGTTCCTGGCTTACTACAACTATACAAAATTGTGTAACAAAAAATATGGGGACAAGTTTCCTTCTCACTTCCTCAATCGAGATGTGAGATCGGTGAACAAATCCTCACTGCAGGGAATAGTCACACCACCCATTGGATGGTCGAAGCCAAATTCTTCCTCAGCTTGACTAAGCAAGTCTTGAAACAAAGGTTCGCTCAAGAATGATATGGGGATCACAAATCTCTTTTTCTGCATCTCTCCAACATACACAGCAAATGGCCCTTGGGAATATCTCTAGTTGCGGAAGACTTCTTGATCATACGGAGAATAGCCATGATCTCTTAGTTTTAGTATAGATGAGAAAAAAAGGACTGTAAGGGAACTCAAAAGCAGAGAAAGCTTTGATGTTTGGTGAGTGTTGTGGTGGTAGATACCTCTTTGGATATGTTTATATAGGAAATGGCAACTCATGCTGATGTTGTATTGCATAGGAATTTCTGGGCACCAGCAGAAGACAATGGCACTGACGTATCACATGTTCTTGCCTTCCAAGTATTGAAAACTTTGTGGTATTAGTTGAAGAACAATCGGCCCTACCTCTTTTGAAACTTGGAAAGAAGCATTATTCATTACAGAATTTTTAAGAAGTGATGAGAAGTCATAAAATCTCATGATATGTGATGAAGAGCCATTTGGATTGGGCATCACATGGTCATGCCTTCCAACTAGTTGACATGATTAATTGCTTTAGCTCATATAAGATCAAGTTCAATAGGTCCTACATATATTTTCCTATAGGGAACAAAGGATCTCTAAGAATCAAATCCATAAATATTGCTGGTAGCTTATGATGATTTCTAGGAATAAAACATACCCCAGATGCAAACTTTGTGTCCACTTATATAAAAACTATAAGAGAAAAGAAGTCAAAAATATGAAAGATTGACACTGTTTGCACTGTTTATTGACAATAGCACATGAAGTATCACATTGTCTAATGCTCCCTCCATCCCATTTATATGAGGTAATTTGACTCGGCACGGAGTTTGAAAGAAAGGAAGACTTTTAAAACTTGTGGTCCAAAATAAATGTTAGAAATTTGTATGGCTGTAAATCATTCCATTAAGGGTAAAATAGGCATTCTATAGATGAAATGTTAATATAAAAATGTGTCATTCTTTTTGGAAATGTTACTTAATATAGAAAATAGTCAAGCTGTGTTTGCAAATGTACATTAAAATTATGAGTCGTTCAAAACCATAGTATTGGCAGAAATTGGAGTCCATATTCAAGAAAAAGTATAAATATGGAGTATATATTATTAAGAGTTAATCAATTTACATCCAGTTTCTATTGCATTCAGTCAACTGAATCAGTACTTCCACATTACTGCAGAATGGCAGATCTAGTACATGTTGAGTTATACTTCATTGTATGATGGACACTACCAAGTGTATTTGACTTATTTGGAACCACAAAGTGTAATTATTACCAATAGAATGAGTTGTGGCACTTTAGAAGACTAGATTCTGACTAACAAACAATGAGAGTTGAGCAAAAAATTTCTGTTGCAATGAATTGATTACATCAATGTATGGTATAGAATGAAACCATGTAAGTAAGAAGTTTCATTACTTCAATTTCTTTTGAAGTAGAAAAATGTGTCCTTAGTCTACCTAGTGTTTCTTCTAACTCTCAACTGTACACAGTGTCTATCCTGGCTTACTACAACTATACAAAATTGTATAATTACAAAATGGGGACTGGTTTCCTTCTCACTTCCGCAATCGAGATGTGAGATCGATGAACAAATCCTCACTGCAGGGAATAGTCACACCGCCCATTGGATGGTCGAAGCCAAATTCTTCCTCAGATTGACTAAGCAAGTCTTGAAATAAAGGTTCGCTCAAGAATGATATGGGGATCACAAATCTCTTTTTCTGCATCTCCCCAACATACACAGCAAAATGCCCCTTGGGAATATCTCTAGTTGTGGAAGACTTCTTGATCATACGGAGAATAGCCATAATCTCTTAGTTTTAGTATAGATGAGAAAAAAAGAAGGATTGTAAGGTTACTCAAAAGCTGAGAAAGCTTTGATGTTTGCTGAGTGTTGTGGTGGTAGATACCTCTTTGGATATGTTTATATAGGAAATGGCAACTCATATTGATGTGTGTTGAATAGGAATTTGTGGGCACCAGCAGAAGACAATGTCACTGAAGTATCACATGCTCTTGCCTTCCAAGTATTGAAAACTTTGTGGTGTTAGTTAAAGAACAATAGGCCCTACCTTATTTTGAAACTTGGAAAGAGCCATTTGGATTGGACATCAGTTAAAGTCTTAAAGACAATGATATAGTAGTAATCACATGGTCCTGCCTTCCAGCTAGTTGACATGATTAATTGCTTTAGCATATATAAGTTCAAGTTCAATAGGTCCTACACATTTATTTCCTATAGTGAACAAAGGATCTCTAAGAATCAAATCCATAAATATTGCTCGTAACTTATGAGGATATCTAGGAATTAACCATACCCCAGATGCAAACTTTGTGTCCACTTATATAAAAAGGATAAGAGATAAAAAGTTGGCTTATTAAAATTCCGAGCCAGTTAGTCAAAATCAGACGATCAAATAGAAACAGAGGGAGTATTATATATGCAAAAACAATCCATTGGTTAAATAGTTGGCTCCCTAAGTACATAATCTTGTTTGTTATCTTTTACAAATACATTGGTTTCTTCATAAACAAAGATAAATAAGTTGGGATCTTCCTCCATAAATAGCTTACCATCTCTCTATCCAAAACACAACCATTAGTACTTTTTTAGTAGCATTAAGCTCTCAAATTTCTTCAAGAAAACATACAAAAATGGCCATCTGAAAATCAAACAAGTTATCACAAGCTGCAGTTTTGAAGCAAATTATGAATAGGTATTCAAATTTGGGTATGCTGAGATTTATATTTGCTAATGAGTCCAACCAAACAATCCCTAAGAGAAACAATCATTTACAGAAAATGAATTATAAGGAAATTCATGAGAAACCAAAAATGGCCGATAATGCAAAGGACAGAATAGACCTGATCAGTTATATCAGGTGCTGTGCTCGCCACAATCGGAATAAACTTCTTGTCAACCTGTTGGAGATCTTTGGCACCCTCCGGGAAGTTTTTATCAATGGTATCAGGAACCAATGAATCGCCAACAAAATGCAAGACGCCAGAAGTGACACTGAGTACAGTATACTGATTATTAAGATTCTCTGGACTCTGTTCCAGAGCACTGTTCTGTATCTCAATAGGAAAAGGTAAAGTTCATCATCTTAACAAAATAGAGACTATGTGGCATAGGAGTCTTAGAAAGAGACATTGTAATCTCTAATGCATTCATGATTAATAAGAATGCAGCCTAAGATAATCTTCAAAAGTGGGTGAAAGAAATGAAGCTAATTAACTGAAACATGCACTAGGAAAATTCAGCTCTTATTCAGGTCAGAGACTAGTGGCAGGAATGGTTTACCTTCTTTTCACTCCCCATCGCGTGTACATGTGCACTCCCCTTGAGCTTGCAATTTGCTATTCCAGATGTTAACAAGTTCCCTTTTCACACTTGGCCTGAAGAGAGAAACATCAGGTCGTGTTCGTTACTGACATATTTAATTGAGATAATATCTGAAAGAGACCTAATAACCCTCCCAAGAAATTGGATAACACTACCTTTCATCACAGAAGTAACCGTCACCACAACTTGGAGTGAAAGATTGATCACATTGATGGGATGACTGCTGTGGAATCTCCCAGCTGATATCTTCCGCAGAATGATGCAGTCTACTAACTGCTATAGTTTCTGCACGAAGGAAAAGAACATTAATTAGTTGCACAAGTTTTCTGTCATCAAGCTTCTTAACAGTTTACACTTCTATAATGAAACAATAGTGAGTTTCTCAAGGTTCAAATCCCAGAGTTAGGTACTACAATCTGACCATTGCTTGGTCCCTCAAGCTAAGTCATTATGTAGGATCAACTTTCCTGATTAAAATAAACCAAGCCATTTCAATAGATTTTCGCGAAATATTTCCAAATAGTAGAGAATACAATATTTTTTTACTGGCATAATATGTGTCTGTCGATGTTATGCAAATCTCCATTAAATTATGAGTCAGTCAAAACTTTATTATGGCTAGAAATTTGAGTTCATATTCAAAAGAATAGATACTATTTCTTATGAAGAGTTGATAAAGTGTAATTTTCATTTGTACTAATTGAATGAGGCATGCCACTTAAGAGGACTAGATTGTAGTTCATTCTGATTAACAAACCATGAGAGTTGAGCAAAAAAATTCTATTGCAATGAATTGATTACATCAATGTACGGAAGTAAAAAGTCATTACTTCAATTTCTTTTGAAGTAGAAAAATGTGTCCCTTAGTCTACCTAGTGTTTCTTCTAACTCTCAACTTTACACAGTGGAGTTCCTGGCTTACTACAACTATCCAAAATTGTGTAACAAAAAAATGGGGACTAGCTTCCTTCTCATTTCCTCAATCGAGATGTGAGATCGATGAACAAATCTTCACTGCAGGGAATAGTCACACCGCCCATTGGATGTTCGAAGCCAAATTCATCCTCAGCTTGATTAAGCAAGTCTTGAAATAAAGGTTCGCTCAAGAATGATATCGGGATCACAAATCTCTTTTTTTGCGTCTCCCCAACATACACAGCAAAATGGCCTTTGGGAATATCTCTAGTTGCGGAAGACTTCTTGATCATACGGAGAATAGCCATGATCTTTGAGTTTTAGTATAGATAAGAAAAGAAAAAGAATTAGTATTAAGGAACTCAAAAGCAGAGAAAACTTAGAATACTTTAAAGTTTGCTGAGTGTTGTGGTGATAGATAACTCTTTGGATATGTTTATATAGGAAATGGCAACTCATATTGATGTGTATTGAATGGAATTTGTGGGCACCAGCAGAAGACAATGTCACTGAAGTATCACATGCTCTTGCCTTCCAAGTTTTGAAAACTTTGTGGTATTAGTTGAAGAACAATAGGCCCTACCTTTTTTGAAACTTGGAAAGAAGCATTATTCATTACAGATTTTTTAAGAAGTGATGAGAAGTCATAAAATCTCATGATATGTGATGAAGAGCCATTTGGATTGGGCATCACATGGTCATGCCTTCCAACTAGTTGACATGATTAATTGTTTTAGCTCATATAAGATCAAGTTCAATAGGTCCTACATATATTTTCCTATAGGGAACAAAGGATCTCTAAGAATCAAATCCATAAATATTGCTGGTAGCTTATGATGATTTCTAGGAATAAAACATACCCCAGATGCAAACTTTGTGTCCACTTATATAAAAACTATAAGAGAAAAGAAGTCAAAAATATGAAAGATTTCACTGGTCGACACTGTTTATTGACAATAGCACATGAAGTATCACATTGTCTTGTTGCCCAACTCATTGTCTAATATATATGATCTTAGCCATTAATCTTGAATAGCAGCAGACCCCAGTGTTTTTCATGACAAGGTACAGAACAGACTATCTTTAGAGATCAAATTGATAAATTTACTGCAATAGCTGACAACTTGTACGATCAACTTTCCGGATTAGAATAACCCTTGTTATTTCAATAGATTTTGAAAAGTGTTACCAAATAGTAGAAAATAAAAATGTTTATTGACCATCAACATGTCTGTGTTTGCAAATGTACATTAAAATTATGAGTCGGTCAAAACCTTGGTCTTGCAGAAAATTGAGTCCATATTCAAGAAAAGTATAAATATGGAGTATATATTATTAAGAGTTAAATCAATTTACATCCAGTTTCTATTGCATTCAGCTGAACTCAGTACTTGCACATTGCTGCAGAATGGCAGATCTAGTACATGTTGAATTATACTTCATTGTATGATGGACACTATCAAGTGTATTTGACTTCATTTGGAACCACAAAGTGTAATTATTACCAATAGAATGAGTTGTGGCACTTTAGAAGTCTAGATTCTGACCAACAAACTATGAGAGTTGAGCAAAAATTTTCTATTGTAATGAGTTGATTACATCAATGTATGGTATAGAATGAAACCATGTAAGTAAAAAGTTCCATTACTTCAATTTCTTTTGAAGTAGAAAAATGTGTCCTTAGTCTACCTAGTGTTTCTTCTAACTCTCAACTGTACACAGTGTCTATCCTGGCTTACTACAGCTATACAAAATTGTGTAATTAAAAAAATGGGGACTGGCTTCCTTCTCACTTCCGCAATCGAGATGTGAGATCGATGAACAAATCCTCGCTGCAGGGAATAGTCACACCACCCATTGGATGGTCGAAGCCAAATTCTTCCTCAGATTGACTAAGCAAGTCTTGAAATAAAGGTTCGCTCAAGAATGATATGGGGATCACAAATCTCTTTTTCTGCATCTCCCCAACATACACAGCAAAATGACCCTTGGGAATATCTCTAGTTGCAGAAGACTTCTTAATCATACGAAGAATAGCCATGATCTCTTAGTTTTAGTATAGATGAGACAAAAAGAAGGATTGTAAGGTTACTCAAAAGCAGAGAAAGCTTTGATGTTTGCTGAGTGTTGTGGTGGTCGATACTTCTTTAGATATGTTTATATAGGAATGGCAACTCATATTGATGTGTGTTTAATAGGAATGTGTGGGTACCAGCAGAAGACAATGGCACTGTAGTATCACATGCTCTTGCCTTCCAAGTATTGAACACTTTGTGGTGTTAGTTAAAGAACAATAGGCCCTACCTTATTTTGAAACTTGGAAAGAGCCATTTGGATTGGACATCAGTTAAAGTCTTAAAGACAATGATATGTTAGTAATCACATGGGCCTGCCTTCCAGCTAGTTGACATGATTAATTGCTTTAGCAATAGGTCCTCATATATTTTCCTATAGGGAACAAAGGATCTCTAAGAATCAAATCCATAAATATTGCTGGTAGCTTATGAGGATATCTAGGAATTAACCATACCCCAGATGCAAACTTTGTGTCCACTTATATAAAAAGGATAAGAGATAAAAAGTTGGCATATTAAAATTCCGAGCCAGAGGGAGTATTATATATGCAAAGAACAATCCATTGACCATTGGTTAAATAGTTGGCTCCCTAAGTACATAATCTTGTTTGCTATCTTTTACAAGTACATTGGTTTCTTCATAAACAAAGATAAATAAGTTGGGATCATCCTCCATAAATAGCTTCCCATCTCTATATCCCAAACACAACCATTTGTATTTTTTTAGTAGCATTAAGCCCTCAAATTTCTTCAAGAAAACATACAAAAATGGCCCTCAGAAAATCAAACAAGTTATCACAAGCTGCAGTTTTGAAGCAAATTATGAATAGGTATTCAAATTTGGGTATGCTGAGATTTATATTTGCTAATGAGTCCAACCAAATGATCCCTAAGAGAAACAATCATTCAAGTAAATGAATTATAAGGAAATTCGTGAGAAACCAAAAATGGCCGATAATGCAAAGGACAAAATAGACCTGATCAGTTACATCAGGTGCTTTGCTCGCCACACTCGGAATAAACTTCTTGTCAACATGTTCGAGAACTTTGGCACCCTCCGGGCAGTTTTTATCAATGGTATCAGGAACCAATGAATCGCCAACAAAATGCAAGACGCCAGAAGTGACATTGAGTATAGTATCTAGATTCTTATGATTCTCTGTTCCAGAACTGCTCTGCATCTCATACTGGAAAAGGTAAAAGTCCATCATCTTGTCCATATAGCTAAGGTACTCAACTGTAATCTATGGACGGAAGTCCCTCCATTTTGTCCCAGAATCCAAGAAACTTTGAATAAACATAAGCAAGATCCCTACAAAGCTAATGAAGGTTGTGGAAGCTTACTGTAGGAGCTATATATGGTCTGGGATTAATGTGATAACCAAGAAGGCCTTGGTGTCCTGGGAGAGAGTTTGTACCCCTAAATCCATAGGTGGACTAAATCTCATCAATCTCAACTTATGGAATAGAGCGGCAATCGCAAAAAATCACTGGGACCTTGCTCACAAGTTGGATAAGCTATGGATAAGGTGGATCCACTCTTATTATATAAAATATCAGCATATCAATACTATGCCTATTCCACAACAAGCTTCCTGGTTGGTAAGGAAGATAATTTAAGTAAGGACTGTGATAGACCAGAGTCAAATAGTTCCCAAAGGAACTAGCAGTATCATCAGGCAAATGTATATCCAGCTTATTGGCCAACAACCAAGAATCGAATGGAAATGTTTTATGTTTAAAAATGACCCAAGTGGCAAAGCCATATTCACTATGTGGCTGCAGTTTCAGAATAGATTACTCACCGGCTATAGACTGTCGAGTTGGGGAATGGATGTGGGAAACACTGGTGTATTTTGCCAGGGACATGATGAAAGTAGAGATCATTTGTTTGCTGAATGTTCCTTCAGTAGAAATGTATGGAGCAGGCTATTGATGTGGCTACACGGTCGACCATACAAAGCAATGACGTGGCAGCAACACTTCACTTGGGCAATGAGGAATGCAAAAGGTAGAACCGTAGAAGCAAGGATTTTTAGAGTGGTTTATGCTGAGACAATCCATGGAGTATGAGGGGGAAGAAACATGCGCATATTTCAGAAAATTACTAAAAGACCTGAAGATATTGCTAGGCACATAGCTTACACCTGTAATGTTCGAGCCAAGATAGGGGCCAAAGCCTTTCTACAAAATTGTAGGTTCTGATACTTGATGATACATCAATGCTATAGAGAAGAGTGTTCGTAGATCGTAGGGGGACTAGGTTCCTAGGGAATAGAGCTAGAAGTTTTTTTTTTAGTTTTTTTTTCCTTCCCTGACACAGCAAGCTGAGTTGCAATGCTGTGGTTTTGTAAAGTTTTACTTGGTGATTAATAAAATATAAAATCCCTTAATTACCAAAAAAAAAAGATGTAATCTGAAAGAGACTGTGTGGCCTAGGAGACTTAGAAAGAGACATCGTAATCTAAAATACTTTCATGATTAATAAGAATGCAATCTAAGATAATCTTGAAAAGTGGATGAAAGAAATGAAGCTAATTAACTAAAACATGCACTAGAAAAGTCAGCTCTTATTCAGGTCAGGAACAAATGGCAGGAACGGTTTACCTTCTTTTGACTCCCCATCGCATGTACTTGTGCAATCCCCTTGAGTTTGTAATTTTCTATTCCAGATGTTAACAAATTTCATTTTAACACTTGGCCTGAATAGAGAAATATCAGGTCGTGTGAATTACTAAAATATTTGATTGAGATAATATCAGAAAGAGACCCAACCCTCCCAAGAAATTTGATAACATTACCTTTCATCAGAGAACACACCCTTTACCACATTTTGGGTGGAAGATTGAGCACATTGATGGGATGACTGAGTGGAAGCTCCGCGCAGATAGCTTCTGCAGAATGATGCAGTCTCCTTACAGCTCTAGATTCTGCACGATAGAAAAGAACATTAATTAGTTGCACATATTTTCTGTCATAGTTGATTATTAACACAAAAAAACACTTGAGGAGAAATTACCTGGCATGAGCACATCATAAACAGTTTAAATGTTGTTATTTCCTGCTGCCTTTCTTGAAGACTCAGTTGTGGCAAAGAACTTCTTCTTGTCTTGGTAAAATGGAGGAACTGAATGACTTCTTCTACTCTTCTTCTTCCTTATAAGCTCATCTGTTTTACCTCGATTTCCAGCGTCAATCCATTTATGTGAGTCCCCATCCACCCTAGAGGAGAACATAGCTCGTGGTAGCAACTAATTTTAAGATTCTCTTCACCAAGAGAAAGCATATGTGTCAAATCATCTCAATCATAATAGAATTAAGAAGGACCTGAACTATAAACATCCCATGGATCAAGTCCCCTATACTGGCCATACCAGTTTGCCCACTTACAAGTAAAACCGCAAACCAAAAAATGAAAGAACACCCGTAAAAAGATACTAATAAACACAAACCATCAAACAACCTATCAGTTGAGGAATGCATGCAACCCTATAGACTACGACAACCATTCCAAGTTATGAACATAATCGTTGTCAGTCCAATATTTTGCAAAATGATTACCATATCATTCTCTCCTCAGCATCTGTCCATCTCGTGAGACACCAGATCCTTCAAAAGAAAGTACCAACTTCAGGTGATGAAGTAAAATAATAAATTGAGCAGAATTTTATACATATCAAAATGCATTTAGATCGACGTCAAAGAAACTAATAGTTACCATTGTCATCCACCTTCACAATTCAGGTCCCAATGTCTATAGCAACAGATACCTGGTGGAAAATAGAAACTGGGTTAAAGTTCAACTTAGGAGTACACAACTTATAAGAATAACAAACATAAAAAGAGCAGTCCTACAAGGGAGTAAATCTCATGGAGAAAAGAAAGTGTTGTTATATAAGAATATTCATTTGGAAAAAAAAAAAATGCTTTGATACTAGAATTGAGCATCATACTAAGAGGAGAAAAAGTATATCAATTTTCATATAAAGCATATGCCCTTGTAATCAGAGGTAGCAAAAATAGAAACATAAGAATTCATTGAAGAGCCTCACTGATCAGTGCCTTTTGTGCAAATAGTCCAAGCTATTAAAATTGCATTAAAGCACGACTTGCCATATTCTCAGCAGCCCACATCTATTGATCCTCTAAACATTAACAAAATCAGAAAACATAAAATCCCCCATTCTCTTACATGACACAATTTTACAACTTATAAGAAACAATTGAAATCAGAAAGTCTAGACCATGTTCATTTCAAAGATGAAAATAAGTCTAGACCATGTAAAAGAAAATGACCACTGAGGGTGTATACGGAAGTCTGTCCAATCGGGTGTCTTCATTCAAAATACTACAAATCACTTCTTATAATTAAACTACTTATTTTTTAAGAATTGTGCCAGTGGGGCCTTCAACAAGAAAAACTCCACATCTTCCCATTCAATGGCTTCATAATTCAGTTATAATTAAACCAAAAACAACACCACGAGTATCTATCATGATTCATGACTTCATAATTCAATTATATAAAAAGGTTCACCTCCATGTGCCGATCACTTTCATCTTTGCCAGTGAAAGAAAGGCCAGCATCTTCAAATTGCTGCACCATATCAGGATCCACCTACATAGCACAGGATAAGTTTTTAGCATACATCCCTTACTAAAGAAATCACATTTTATGGTCTACATATAATTATTAAACCAGTCCACCTAGATGTGCAATAGTTACACCACAGTTCCAAATTTAAAGAAAAAAAAAAATGCCTCTCATATGCAAAGCTCCGGTTGCCAAATCTGAGAAAAGATATAGTTAAGCCACTTGGTAATATCAATGGGAGAAATCCTCCAGAATGGCTTCAGAAACTTAACAACAAGCATGCCCAATGTATGCAAAAACAATCTATTAGGAATTTCAAGAAAACCAGAGAGAAAAGCCAAAGAACCATATCATTTTAAAAAATACTTGGTCAGAAATCAAAAAGTCAATAAACAAAGTGTAGAAAAGATGACTTATCACATCTCTTTATCCATCAATTTGGGGCTGCATAGGTTCACTGTTTAAACACCAGGACCTGAGAGTTATCCTCAAAGTTCGAATGCACCAACACTTGCATTCAATTTATTAAGGGAACTCAAGATGAATTCCAAACCCACTAGACAACAGCAGGTCATCCTCACTGCATGTAAATGAACAAAATCTAAGGAATTAGACAGGAAATCCTTAAGTTAGGTGGTGTATTAAAGACGAACCTTTCAATATCAACAATTTTGAAGGAGGCACTGCGATGCGCAAGGGAGATTCTTAGCAGAGACTCTTTTGGAGAATGCAAGACCCTACTTGGACTTCAAGATTATATATGCACACCAAAAGATCAATCAGATCAGAGTACAGCTTTAGAAGTAAAGTATGTAAAGCAATATTTTTTACTTGTTTGATTTTGAGAAAACTAGAAGAACTTGGAGTGCATTTGCTTCCTTCGAACAGGTAAGTTGTAAAATACATCACAAACAATTACTGCAAAAAGAAAAAACCCTAGAAATTTCCTTATTAGCCGGCAGCAGTCAACTCAATTATCAGGTAGGCTTATACAAAATCACCTGTTATACCAACATCTTGTCTATAATCATCAATTCCAAGGTACAAAACACTTCCCATCCTGTTAACAATGGCCAGATAAAACTTCAAAGACCAGGTTAGTAGTTTTATACCTATCCTAATGTCGACTACTTACTATAACTCAAAAGAAATTTACCTTCAAAACCTTACAATATCTATTAGGCCTCCCATGAGATTTGGTAACAATTCCAACAAAGAAATATCAGAAATAGAGCTCAGAACCAACTTGTCACCACAAGATATTCTTGAAAAACACATCAAAATAGCTTCATCAGTATCAATGGTGCCAGTAAAGGGAGTTAAATGCTGCACATAATCTCTGCCAAATTGATTGCATATCTACCATGGAACAAAAATGAACAAGTGACATGTTTTTCTTTTTTTGTGGCGATTAGTCAAACCAATCCTCTCTTAACCTACATATGGTACAACAAAGTAGGGGCAGGTGATGACCAGCACTTTCAACAAATAGCATGTCATTGAAGTCAATAGTTTCCTATCCAGTTCATAGCAGAATGTCTACAGAATCAGACAATGTAATCAGTTGAAACAAAATTCAGTAATCCTAAAAAGTGCAACAGTTCTCAAGTTTGATCTAGTCCATGGTCTGCAGTCGAAAACTAAGAGAAACCAGATGCAGTCCTCTGGTTACATGTGCTCCCACTTCCTCCACTCATCAAAGAGATATAAGAATTTTGTCACTTCCTCAGAGCCTATTAGAGCTTTTCCTTAACCCCCTCATTCTAATTAATGATTTATAGTATTTATTAAAACTGTTGGAACATTAGTGTAGGTGTTAAATGTTCAAATGAAGTTACTTCCTCTAAGATCCAAGATTAATATATTTCTCTTTTTTATGACTCCAAAGAATAGAAAAGATACTAACTCAGTAACTCTAATAGAAAAGATAATAACTCAGTAACTCTAACCTGAAGGAGGTAAGTTGATATCTTTTGACAGAAAGGATACATAAAAAAGTATACTCATTCAAACTACTACAAATCAAAGTTAGGCTACAATTTTCCATTTTTAAGAAACAATCAAAAGTCAAAAAGTCTACAATTGAGTGTCTTCATTCAAAATATTACAAATCACAACTTACTTATAATTAAACAAATTAATTTTTTTATATAGTTGCGCAGTGGGTCCTTCAAGAACAACTCCACGTTCTTTTTTTCAATTCCAGTTTCTCAGTTAAAAAAATTCTTGAACATCCTTAACATACACTGACAGGATGAAAACATAACTTGCTTTTAAAAAAAAAAAATCTTGAAAAAAACAACTTCTTGAAATTTTCTTAAAAGTTCAACATGTAAAATCGATTTCTTGAATTCCAACATCCAAAATTGAGTTCTTTGGAAGAATATCAAGATAATGAGAAGAGTACCAATAGATAGATCAATTGATTTAGGGTTTAGGGTTTCAATCGGACATCATCACTTGAACCATCAAGAACACCAACAAGTTCAACGAACGTTTCTTAAAAATTAAACGCATAATCGAATTCTTGAATTTTCCTCCTTTTTAATGGAAGAATGCCCATGAATCGTGATAGATTTTCCGATAGGCCGGTAGCTTAAAAGTTCCGACTCTTTTTTAATAGGCAGTCGGAGCAGTGATGGGGTGAGTTCTTAAATGCGCACTAGGTACTCTATTTTATAAGTTATCGAACCAGTTAATACACGCGGCTGAAAAATAGAACGCGGAAAAATAACTACTTAATCCTACCAAATAGTACTAATAAATATATTATTTTTAGTAAATTATCTTATTCTAGTACTTAATTTTTTATGTTTTTTTAATAAGAAAAAATTATTCATTGAATGTGAAATTTGTTATTATCATCGTATAAAACTTATGTTCATAGACCAGACATGAACATAGTGGTTTTGAATGGTTATCCCCATAACAAAATATTGGACCAAAAAAAGGCCTCTCCTTGTTAACTTTGAAATTCAATACGATTAGTAATAAATAATTTCACCTTTTAATTTCACCCACAGTATTTTTGAATTTTTTTTTCTACAGAATTCTCTCAAAACAAACCCTAACATAAGCACATTTCATAAAAACAAATCCAAAGACCCACATTCATTTCCCAACCCCAAAACAAATTAAAACATAAATCCCAACAAAGTATCTCACCTTAAATTCCTCAGAGGTATTTGATGGCTCCCAAGTCAAGTCATATAAAGATTTTGGACAGTTTAGGTTCAACAAAAATAAGGATATATCTGAGATCTACTTTGCTTCTCAATGTTAGAAGCACTGTCAAAACACATAGCTATATTGTTAAGTAATTTATGTATTGGAGAGAAAAAAAAAAGAGAGACATACCAAATATTAGCCTTAAATCAAGTCAAGGAGAATCCATAATGTTGAGAGTGTGAAACACGGCTAATGATAATAAACAAAATTTAAATGTTGAATAATACTTCTACTTAACAGTTATGGTTATCATGTCAAAAACAGAAACGAACTCAAATTATAATTTTATCTAATTAAAATTATATACTTATAAAACTTATATTATTTAACTTGTGCAAAATTTTAATAGAAAGTTATATACTTATAAGATTATAAATTAATATTTATACATATTAAATTAAATATAAGAATAGTTGTATATTAGATTCGTAGTAGAACTGTAGAAGAAAAGTGTCCACGAGAAGACTTTAGTATTTAGGATTACATAGACTCAGTGCTTCAGAAGCTCCAATTCCGCTGTTATAAAGAAATGAAATCAAGCAAAAAAAATTCTCAAACAAGAATTCAGTTGGCGATCTGAACAGATTTCATTTGCTAAAAAATGTGGTGTATGTCTTTTTGACATCAGCTACAGAAAATTACATTCAACAATTGGGACTAGGACAAATAGCCCCCTCTATCTAATTTTCAGTAATGTGTATTGAATAATGAGTCTCTCCTAACTACAAAGGTTACTTCTTTACAAAATTGTGAAACGAAAAGCCTCAGAACCTATTCAAGGGAGAAGTAAGATTAATGAACACATCCTCACTACAGGGAATTGTCACACCTCCCATTGGATCATCAAAGCCAAATTCTTTCTCAGCTTGACTAAGCAACTCTTGAAATAAAGGTTGGCTCAAGAATGAAATGGGGATCACAAATCTCTTCTTTTGCTTCTCCCCAACATAAATAGCAAAATGGCCTTTCGGAACGTCTCCAGCTGTAGAAGTTTTCTTGATCATACGAGGCATACGGATTGCCATGGTTGTGTAGTTCAATATAGAGCAAACAGTTCTTTGATTCACACATTTCTTGGCCAAGATTCAGTATGATCAAACAAATACAACTGACGATCATAATAATGTTCCTGATAGGAAATAAAATCCTTGTATACAAAAAGAAAGTTCATATGTGTGATGGAAGAGACAGATGACACACTAATGATTTAGGCAATAACACATCTCATTATTTTGGTCCAGAAAAAATTCATATTTAATTTTCAAGTGTCTTTAGATCTTTTCTTTTGATTATAGACAAAACATATAATATCAACGCAAATCATTCACCTCTCAATTCCACACTTAATCGTTGAAGCATCAAGGTGAAAGAGAAATTTGGTTATAATGGGCAAAACAAGTTTCTTAACAGTTTACACTTCTATAATGAAACAATAGTGAGTTTCTCAAGGTTCAAATCCCAGAGTTGGGTACTGATGTGGGTGATATAATGATCAGAACTCACACAATTTTCTCTCTCATTGAAGTGAAGAGAGAAACAAATTTTCCTTTGGATGATTAAAAAAGGGGAGAGCAAACTATTCGTATCACTAACCCATCAAACAAAACCTAAAGGTGACTACACATTGAAGGCAAATTGTAATAAAACTTGCCAAATGGAACATCTAATCAGCTTGAATTATATTTCTAGATTATTAAGATCAATCCTAGACAAGCATTTCTATTATTGGTAGGGACTACCTCTGCAGATACTCAGATATATACTGTGACGGGTTGATGGCAAGTTGTCTAAAATGCTTATCTATGAAAGGAGACATACCATTGTCATTGTTGATCCAGTAAGAGGGGAAATATTCTCCAGCCCACTGCTACCACAAAGAACTTTTGCTCCACATCCAACTGTATCAGCTGTTCCGACTTCCCACTGCTACCACGGAGAACTTTTGCTCCACATCCAACTGTATCAGATGTTCCGACTTCCGACAGCCTCTTCATCACACAAGACAACTTCTACAGATTCCTCGCTTGCTTGCTTCCAGGAACCTGTGCTAAATTTTCCAGGATAGGGTTTACAAAGAGCTATTTAGAGATGTCAATTTTAACCAGATAGGCTGTATTGAAATCAGAGACAGACTTGACAAAACCATGTTTCCCTGAGGCACCAATTGGGAGTGTGATGTGTTTGAGCATGAAAAATCAATTCTTCAAGTATTTGCTACATGATTACAAATACATTTAGTCATAAAGGTTTGAGTGGAGAAACACTTCGATAGAACTTTTGAAACCACTATTTAGGCACATTCCAAAAGACAGGTCAAAATTATGTTTAGGTTCAGTTTGAAAAATTTGGTGCAAAGTTCTTTATAAGATAGTAAGCCGACCACTCATGGGATGCTCACGAATTTTTTATACTCCAAGCAGGTACTTCAAACTTCCAAATAAATGGCAATATGTCTCCTTCCTTGAGTAACCTCAATGAGACAAAGAGTAAAATGGTGACATAATTTTTCAAGCTCTTCCAGAATTAACGCCAAATACAAAAAAATTGGGAACAAGCAGTCCTCTTTTCCCATCTTATATATGGCAGGAATTCCAAAATCATATGTGATAACAACTTCATGTTTAACAGAAGTTTCTATACCATTTTCAGCAATGTTAAGGATTAACATCTTGAAACTTGGTCCCGAGCAAAGTATCTGGTGACGGAGGAGATGGTTCTGGACTAAAAAACGGCAGGCCAGAACCATAATTTTCAGTCTGTTTAAAGAGGTCCATAAGATGATCGTCTTCATCTAAAATGAACTTGGTTAATAAAGATTTTTCTGAATCTCCTGACAAATTTTGACCACATTAGTTATACTAAACTCCCAAAATACACAGAACATTAGACTAACACCCAAAAAAACAGAATCTGTATAATCAAGAAAACAACCATTTTCTTATGAAACACATGCACAAGAATCTTGTTAGCTACTAGAGTATTTCCTTAAACATGAATGATGTCATAAATAGTTTTCCAAATTAAGTTGGAAGCTATTTGAGTTTCAAGTCCTCATAATTCAAAAAGAGAGAACCTCTACCATTGACTTGTTACTGATGGTATTAGAACAAAAAAAGCTCATTCCTTAGAAGTAACAATTCATAATTCACTTGCAATAATCAACCCAATTAAAACATGAAATGGACCTTAAGAGACAATGCACACAAACGAAACTAGAAAGCCTTAAACCCTCAAAAATCCTTCTTGCTATCAACAAGATGGAGCACAGAACTGATAAAAACTGTGCTATTGATACCTCAGAATGGACTAACTACCCTGAGAAAAAATGCTTGTCATGCTTTGTTTTCCCATAATTAGACAGCCATATATCCTTCAGAGGGAGGAATAGGAATGTTGAAGAGAATAAGATATAAAGTATTGTAAAAGGTCTGAGAATGTAGGTGAGCAACTAATCCTGTATTAACAACTACAGTACCTTTCTCTTTTAAAGACTGATTTGCAAATGGTTTACATGTACTTACACTTATTGAATGTAATGTTACCGAAAGAAGAGTGACAGATGTTGGCTGCTTGTGAATCAGATTTAAGGTAACTGCTTTAACCAAAACATACAACTTCATGCTCAGAGTTAGTTTAACTTTAATGAATGTTGCAAAATTTAGTGCAATGGGATTTCTGGTAAATGGCAATTTTATCAAGTTCCATAGACTCTTGCATAAGTCATAAGGATATTAATAATGAACAGTTAAATACCGCCAACCAAATGATGCATTAGTCTTGTTGAGCTTATTTTTCTTATGTGGCTAACTGACTGCTACATATTTATGCAGATATTACTTCTTCTTACGCGGCCAAAAAATGTTATACTATTTATGCACAAGTTTATGCTGAGATTTTATTTGCTAATGAGTCCAACCAAATGATCCCTAAGAGAAACAATTGTTTAAAGTAAGTGCATTTTAAGGAAAATCATGAGAAACCAAGAATGATCATATGGACTATGCAAAGGCCCGAATAGACCTTATCAATTATATGTGTTGTGTTCGCAACAATCAGAATAAACTTCTTATCAACCTGTTGGGGAACTTTGGCACCCTCAAGGCAGTTTTTATCAATTGTATCAGGAACCAATGAATCGCCAACAAAATGCAAGACGCCAAGTGACATTGAGTATATTATCCAGATTCTTAAGATTCTCTGTTCCAGAACCGCTCTGCATCTCATACTGAAGAAGTTGCAGAAACATCCAAGATATAGTTAAGGTACTCAACTGTAATCTCTGGATGAAAGTCCCTCCATTTTGCCCCAGAATCTAAGAAACTTTGAATAAACATAAGCAAGATGTAATTTGAAAGAGACTGTGTGGCCTAGGAGACTTAGAAAGAGACATTGTAATCTATACTGCTTTCATGATTAATAATAATGCAATCTAAGATAATCTTGAAAAGTGGATGAAAGAAATGAAGCTAATTAACTAAAACATGCACTAGAAAAATTCAGCTCTTATTCAGGTCAGGAACAAATGGCAAGAACGGTTTACCTTCTTTTGACTCCCCATCGCGTGTACTTGTGCAATCCCTTTGAGTTTGTAATTTGCTATTCCAGATGTTAACAAATTTCATTTTAACACTTGGCCTGAAGAGAGAAATATCAGATCGTGTGAGTTACTAAAATATTTGATTGGGATGATATCAGAAAGAGACCCAACCCTCCCAAGAAATTAGATAACATTACCTTTCATGAGAGAATACATCCTTACCACATTTTGGGTGGAAGATTGAGCACATTGATGGGATGACTGAGTGGAAGCTCCGAGCAGATAGCTTTTGCAGAATGATGCAGTCTCCTTACAGCTCTATATTCTGCATGATGGAAAAGAAAATTAATTAGTTGCACATATTTTATGTCATAGTTGATTATTAACACAAAAAAACACTCGAGGACAAATTACCTGGCATGAGCACATCATGAGCAGTTTAAATGTTGTTACTGCCTGCTGTTTTACCTCGATTTCCAGCATCAATCCATTTATGCGAGTCCCCATCCACCCTAGAGGCGAGCATAGCTCGTGGTAGAATATAATTCTTAAGATTCTCTTCACCATGAGACTGCATATGTGTCAAATCATCTCAATCATAATAGAATTCAGAAGGACCTGAACTATAAACATCCCCATGGATCATGTCCCCTATACTGGCCATCCCAGTTTTGCCCAATTACAAGTAAAACCGTAAAACAATAAATAAAAGAACGTCAGTAAAAAGATACTAACAAACACAAACCGTCAAACAACCTTTCAGTTGAGTAATGCATGCAACCCTATCGACAACCATTCCAAGTTATGAACATACTAGTTGTCAGTCCAATATTTTGCAAAATGATTACCATATCTTTCTCTCCTCAGCATCAGACACCAGATCCTTCAAAAGAAAGTACAACTTCAGGTGATGAAGTAAAATAACTAATTGAGCAGAATTTTATGCACAACAAAATGCACTAGATCAATGTCAAAGAAATTAATACTTACCATTGTCATCCACCCTAATAATTCAGGTCCCAATGTCTATAGCAACAGATACCTGGTGGAAAATGGAAACTGGGTTAAAGTTCAACCTAGAAGTACACAACTTATAAGAATAACAAACATAAAAAGAACAGTCCTACAAGGAAGTAAATCTCATGGAAAAAAGGAAGTGTTGTGATTTAAGAATATTCATTTGAAAAAAAAATACTTCAATACTAGAATTGAGCATCATACTAAGAGGAGAAAAGGTATATCAATTTTCATATAAAGCATATGCCGTCGTAATCATAGGTAGCAAAACATAGAAACATAAGAATTCATTGAAGAGCCTCACTGATCAGTGCCTTTTGTGCAACTAGTCCAAGCGATCAAATTGCATTAAAGCACGAATTGCCATATTCTCAGCAGCCCACATCTATTGATCCTCAAAATATTAAAAAAATCAGAAAACATAAAATCCTCCTTCTCTTACATGACACAATTTTCAACTTTTAAGAAACAATCAAAATCAAAAGTCTAGACCACGTAAAAGAAAATGACCACTAAGGGTTTATACGAAAGTTTGTCCAATCGAGTGTCTTCATTCAAAATACTACAAATCACAACTTCTTATAATTAAAAATACAGATATTTTTTTTAGAGTTGTGCCAGTGGTGCCTTCAACAAGAAAAACTCCACATCTTTCCATGGCTTCATAATTCAGTTATAATTAAACCAAAAACAACACCACGAGTATCTATCATGACTTCATAATTCAATTATATAAAAAGGTTCACCTCCATGTGGCAAACACTTTCATCTTTGCCAGTGAAAGAAAGGCCAGCATCTTCAAATTGCTGCACCATATCAGGATCCACCTACATAGCACAGGATAAGTTTTTAGCATACATCCCTTACTAATGATATCACATCTTATGGTCTACATATGATTATTAAACCAGTCCACCTAGATGTGCAATAGTTACACCACAGTTCCAAATTTAAAGAAAAAAAAGTGGTGAACCTCATATCTATGACGGTGCCTCTCATCTGCAAAGCTCTGGTTGCCAAATCTAAGAAAAGATATAGTTAAGCCACTTGGTAATATCAATGGGAGAAATCCTCCAGAATGGCTTCACAAACTTATCAACAAGCATGTCCAATGTATGCAAAAACAATCTATTAGGAATTTCAAGAAAACTAGAGAGAGAAAACAAATAACCATATCATTTAAAAAATACTTGGTCAGAAATCATAAGGTCAATAAACGAAGTGTAGAAAACAATTTGGGGCTGCATAGGTTCACTGTGTAAACACCAGGACCTGAGAGTATCCTGGAACTTTGAATGCACCAACACTTGTATTCAATTTGTTAAGGGAACTCAGATGAATCCCAAACCCACTAGACAACAGCGGCAAGGAGAAGGAGAAGCAAATGTGCAAAGCAGGTCATCCTCACTGCATGCAAATGAACAAAATCTAAGGAACTAGACTGGAAATCCTTAAGTTAGGTAGTGTATCAAAGACGGACCTTTCAATATCAACAATTTTGAAGGAGACACTGCGATGCGCAAGGGAGATTCTCAGCAGAGACTCTTTCGGAGAATGCAAGACCCTACTTGGACTTCAAGATTATTATATGCACGTCAAAAAATCAATCAGATCAGAGTACAGCTTTAGAAGTAAAGTATGTAAAGCAATATTTTTTACTTGTTTGATTTTGAGAAAACTAGAAGAACTTGGAATGCATTTGCTTCCTTCGAACTAGTTAGTTGTAAAATACATCACGAACAATTACTGCAAAAAGAAAAAACCCTAGAAATTTCCTTATTAGAAGGCAGCAGTCAACTCAATTATACAAAATCACTTGTTGTACCAACATCTTGTCTATAATCATCAATTCCAAGGTACAAAACACTTGCCGTCCTGTTAACAAACAATGGCCAGATAAAACTTCAAAGACCAGGTTAGTAGTTTTATACCTATCCTAATGGAGACTACTTACTATAACTCAAAAGAATTTTACCTTCAAAACCTTACGATATCTATTTGGCCTCCCATGAGATTTGGTAACAATTCCAACAAAGAAATATCAAAAATAGAGCTCAGTACCAGCTAGTCACCACAAGATATTCTTGAAAAACACATCAAAATAGCCAATGGTGCCAACAAGGGGAGTTAAATGCTGCACATAATCTCTGCCAAATTGATTGCATATCTACAATGGAACAAAAATGAACAAGTGACATGTTTTTCTTTTTTGTGGCGATTAGTCAAACCAATCCTCTCTTAACCTACATATGGTAAAACAAAGTAGGGGCAGGTGATGACCAGCACTTTTAACAAATAGCATGTCATTGAAGTCAATAGATTCCTATCCAGTTCATAGCAGAATATCTACAGAATCAGACCATGTAATCAGTTGAAACAAAATTCAGTAATCCTAAAAAGTGCAACAGTTCTCAAGTTTGATCTAGTCCATGGTCTGCAGTCGAAAACTAAGAGAAACCAGAGGTACATGTGCTCCCACTTCCTCCACTCATCAAAGAGACACAAGAATTTTGTCACTTCCTCAGAGCCTATTCTAGCTTTTCCTTAATCCCCTCATTCTAATTAATGATTTATAGTATTTATTAAAACTGTTGGAACATTAGTGTGGGTGTTAAATGCTCAAATGAAGTTACTTCCTCTAAGATTCAAGTATTAATATATTTCTCTTTTTATTACTCCAAAGAATAGAAAAGATACTAACTCAGTAACTCTAACCTGAAGGAGGTAAGTTGATACCTTTTGACACAAAGGATACATAAAAAAAAAAAAGTATAACTCATTCAAAATAGTACAAATCAAAGTTAGGTTACAATTTTCCATTTTTAAAAAATAATCAAAGTCAAAAAGTCTAGACACATGTAAAGAAAAGGGGGCCAGTGAGGGGGGGTTTAAGTCTACAATTGAGTGTCTTCATTCAAAATACTACGAATCACAACTTACTTATAATTAAACTACTTAAAAAAAATTTATAGTTGTGCAGTGGGGCCTTCAAGAACAACTCCACGTCTTTTTTCAATTCCAGTTTTTCAGTTAAGCAGGAGAAAGCAGGGGAAATTGGGGAAAACAAATTATTGAACATCCTTAACATAACTTGATTTTTAAAAAAGATTCTTGAATTTTCTTGAAAAAACCAACAAGTTCTTGAAATTTTCTTAAAAGTTCAACATGCAGAATCGATTTCTTGAATTCCAACATCCAAAATCAAGTTCTTTGTAAGAATATCAAGATAATGAGAAGAGTACCAATAGAAAGATCAATTGATTTAGGGTTTAGGGTTTCGCTCGGACATCGTCACTTGAACCATCAAGAACACCAACAAGTTCAATGAACTTTTCTTAAAAATTAAACGCAAAATCGAGTTCTTGAATTCCAATATGCAAAATCTAGTTCTTGAATTCCAATATGAAGAATGCCCATGAATCGTGATAGATTTTCCGATAGCCGGTAGCTTAAAAGTTCCGACTCTTTTTTAATAGGCGGTCGGAGTAGTGATGGGGTGAGTTCTTAAATGCGCACTAGGAACTCTATTTTATAGTTTTAGAACCAGTTAATACACGCGGCTGAAAAATAGAACGCGGAAAAATAACTACTTAATACAGAATATATTATTTCTGTAAATTACTTTATTCTAGTACTTATTTTTTATTTATTTTTTAGTAAGAAGAAATTATTCATTGAATGTGAATTTTTTTTATAATCATATAAATTTTATATTATTTAATTTGCTATATTTTCAAAAATCTATTCAAAATATGAAATTTATGTTTCAAAATTTTAATAAATTTTAATAGGAAGTTATAACATATAAAATTATAAATTAATATTTTATACATATTAAATAGATTTTTTATAATTAAATTAAAAAGAAGAAACTATATATTGAATTCGTAGTCGAAAGGTACATCTATATCTGATAAACTAGATATAGGACCCCGTGCCAGCACGGGGCCCAATATATATTATTTTTTTATTTTAATTTATGTCATATTATGGAATTTTAGAAGTTATTGAAATTTTTATATGATTTTAAAAATATTTTAAATTTTTAGCTATTGTGATTTGTAGTACTTTTTTTTAACATAATTTTGAAAATAATATTTATTACTCTGTTTGTTCTAATTTATGTGGCACACGCAGAATTTCAAATATAAACCATTTTTTATATGTCTCTTTAATATATTAAGTTGTTAATTATTGCATTTTATAGTACATTTTGAACCTAATTTTTTAATAATATATGTTATTTGCCATATCCCAATTTATGTGCATTAATTGATAGATTTGTTGGAGTCGAGAGATTTATTTTGTTAATTATTGTAATTTATAGTTTTTTTTTCCGTCAATTTCAAACAATATATGTTGTTAATTGATAGAATACTTTTAATGTAATTTTAAAAAAAAAATATGTGTGACTCTCCATGTCCCAATTTATGTGGCACATGTAAAGTTTTGACAATTAACCAAAATTTTAATACATTTAAAAAAATATTTTTAAGTCGTTAAATTTTAAGTAATTTAAATTGTTGTATTATTTATTACAATTTATAATACTTTTAAAGTAGTTGAAATATTGTACTATTTATTATGATTTATAACACTTTTTTTTAAATTTATGTCATATTATGGAATTTGAGAAGTTATTGAAATTTTTATATGATTTTAAAAATATTTTAAATTGTTAGCTATTGTGATTTGTAGTACTTTTTTTAACATAATTTTGAAAATAATAGTTATTACTCTATTTGTTCTAATTTATGTGGCAGATGCAGAATTTCAAATATTAACCCTTTTTTATATGTCTCTTTAATATATTAAGTTGTTAATTATTGTATTTTTTAGTACATTTTGAACCTAATTTTTTAATAATATATGTTATTTGCCATGTCCCAATTTATGTGGCATTAATTGATAGATTTGTTGGAGTCGAGAGATTTATTTTGTTAATTATTGTAATTTATAGTTTCTTTTTCGTCAATTTCAAACAATATATGTTGTTAATTGATAGATTTTTTGGAGTGGATTTTTTAATTAATTATTGTAATTTATTGTTTCTTTTTCGTCAATTTCAAACAATATATGTTTATTATATAATCCATTTTATGTGGTACCAATATAATTTAGAGAGTCAATTAAATTTTTTATATAAGTTTTAAATAATTAAGCTGTTAATTATTGTAATGTATAGTATTACTTATATTATTTTTAAATATATTTAAATATTATATGTTAGGTTTTTTATCCTAATTTATATGGCACTGATAGAATTTAAAGTGTCAAATAATTGTTAATTATTGTAATAGATAATATGGAGTATTTAAGTCATTTACAGTATAGTAATTAATATATAAAACGTAGTATTTAAGTGGAAGGTGGTGGGGCCCACTTATATAGTTTGATAAATATATTGGATATTAATAGTGATTTATAGTATAGTAATTAATAATATATAATATGTAGTATTTAAGTGAAAGGTGGTGGGGGCCGACTTATATATTTTATAAATATATTGGACATTAATAGTGATTTTATTGAAACATTGATAGTCATTCCTAGTTTCTATTATATAGAAATGTGAAGACGACGGACGAACAAGAAAATGGACAAGAAGTTATTTCAATTGCACTTTAAAGTGTTGTACACGTGTCAATTGAAATCTGATTAGTAACTCCAAGTGGGTACCACAGACCAGCATAGGTAATTCTAGAATTATCTTCCCACTATCTTTATTCTAGAAATTGCCTAAAATTATCTCTCTCACACTATATTCATTCTAGAAATTACTCTCTCACTTATCTTCGTCTCTACAGGTATGCTCCTTCTATTTATTGCCCATATCTTTTTGTTTATTTTTTTCTTAGTCAACTATACAAATCGTGAGAATTCGTGACCTCATGTCTACATTCAAATCTTAGTTTAATTCACATACTAGCATGTAAGCACATTTTCTTTTTAGTGTTTTAGGATCTAATATGTGCATCTACAGATTTTATTGAAAATTAATTCTATAAAAACAACTTTGTTGTTCTGTTTGTTAACTTAACAAAAATTCTGATAGGATTGTATCAGTTGCAAAAAAAAGGTGGAAAGTACTTTTATAACAATATTTTATAATCTCCAACTCGTCAGAAGTATTTGGCATAGACTACATCAAAAATATGCTTATAAACTGATTGTAAAAGTATAAATCGCCATTCAAAATAAAAAGATTGATTTAGTATTTTTTTTTCATTAAAGTTATACTTAATGTTTATCAGAAATTTGATGTATTTCAATTGTAATATATTTGTGTTAGTGTCTAAATAACATATCGACACTTGATTAAAAGCTTGCAGGATTCACATTACACCGACTTTGAGAAATCTTAATTTCACTTCACAAACTCCGTGGAGAAAACCTTGAATGGCCATGATGCTGCATTGAGTAAGAGCTTGCTCTTTGTCATCTCATGCTGTTCTGATTCTTGATATCAATAAATATTATTCCTATTCAAGAAAAGTATACATATCATATTTCTGCAATTTGAATGGGGTTAAACTAAATAAGCCACTCATTTTGTTTTAATTTGTGACCTATTATTTTTGTAGCTTAAAAAGTCGCACACTCCATGTCAAACTTTTTTTTGTTTTGTTCCTGTTCTTTAAATTTTTTTCAAACAGAGAAGAGGAATCCGCTGTGGGTTTTAGAGAAACATGGAGGACTCCAGGAGTTGCGCCATTTGCTTTTTGCCTTTTTTTGGTGGCTTACACATTTCTCTATTGTGGCTGCCGTACTA